AATGTTCACGCACAAGCTGCAGGCGAGTGTGGAAAATTTCTCGAGTTCGGCAAAGCACTTTGCACTCGTGTTACACATTAAATTGTTCCTACAGTTACTATAAAGCATAGAAATAATTAGTCTTTTAAACAGTATACCACACGTTTTATATTAGGTTGAATCTAAGCGTTGAACGAAATGGGAAACAACTGCACCAGCTGATCATAGTCGTAGTATCTTTAGTAAGTGTTGTTTTAGTAAGTGTTGCCAACCTACTTTCAAACTTACATAGATTACGTGTATAATAAAAGAACAGTGTTTTGTGTTTGGTTGGAATACTGGTTTGCTCCAAAGTAAAAACTGCGCTAAAGTAAGGCTTTCTGTACTATAATCGGTGCAAGGAAGCCCACTTTGTTAGGTGACTGTAGGAAAATAATATTTCCTTAGGGTTTTAAACAAACAGTTGAGGAAAAATAATTTCTTGTTTGTTGAGTCAGCCGAGTTAAAAGTGATTAAACACTAATAAAAATTGCAAGTATTTTCTTTTTGTTTACAATTAAACCTGTTAGTATAATTAACAAAAGAATGTGAAGAGTCTTTTACTCCTATTTTGTGTGTAACAATATTTTAACATCATAAAAGGGCTAGTAAAATAACCACCATATAAAGCTTCAAAGCTTTGTAACTATAATATTTTTAATATTTGTACACTCAGGTTTTTTCACTCCCATATTCAAATTTCTACCATTCGTTTTTTCCATTCACGAAGGACAAATTTCCCGTATTTCTCCCAGCAACTGTTGTATTTCAGCATAATATTGCTTCATCAATTGTAAATGTTCATAAGTCCAACCATCAAAATCCTCATAACTTTTCATCACTTCCTTTTCCTCTTTCTGCGCTTGTGGTTCATCTGTTGTCATGTACTTCTTTATCTTCTTCATCACACCTTTCTTTTTAATCTTCTTTTTACATTGGATGGACCTTATATTGGTAATAATATTGTTTAAATTGTTGTAAATATCAAAATAGTTTGGAGAATTTCGTATATTGTTCCGAGTTATTGGTTCTAAAATGTCATACCTCAAATCATCTACTGTTTTTGATAATATTTGTAGGAACTCTTTGCTTTGTTGGTAATTACGATGAATAACAGTTTGATGAATGCAGTTTGTGATAGTTCTGTCCAATGTTAGAGACTTGCTTAGATCTGTGATTTTCCGTACTATATTCTGACTTGTGATTGGAGCTCCAAACATTGCTGCTGTGAGAATAATTCCAGTCAGTAAAACAGTTAACACTATCATGTTACACCTTCATAATTGTCTGATGTTTTGTCTATTCAACCACTTTATCTGATCTAGTTGTCTCATTGGTTATAAATAGCAAATGTAAACTTTACTTACCTTTCTGCAATTAAGTAATGGTACACATTGAAATCAACGCACAGGACAAATCTGTGTTTGTAGTGATCACATTGAAATAATTCAAGTTCTTATTTCTACTTTCTCATAGTCTAGATTTGTACTGCCATAATAATATTCTTGTTATATTTAGATTACTCTGTGCACAAAAATATGTTCTATAGTTTTAGTTTTTATGTTCCACATAATACTGAGATTCATTTGATTTTTATTTGCACAACTTTAAACCACAATACCCTAACTTCAAAGAATTTCTCCCTGAATTTTAAATTGAAAACAGAACAAAATTTAAACACTTTTTTTAACGTTTCAAATTTTTATCTTTTGTCAGACAGGTCTATGTGGCGAACCGCACAAAACTCCTCCATTTCATTCACTAGGTCCATAACCTCCCTGTAGATTTCTCTGAAGCGTTGAAGTTCAGAATCACTCCATCCGTACTTATCTATCAGTTCTTGATCTCGATAAGTTATCATGTTCCATTGCTTCTTACCTCGGAGGATCATGAACCTCACCGGCATCAAATACTTCTTGTGAAACTCCTGTTCCGGTGTTACGTCCGTTAGGTGGTGAAGCTCTCTCACTCCTTCCATAACTTTCTCCATTTTGTCTAAAATCACATTTCCCGCTGTCCGATTGGTTTCCTTGAAAGGTATGAACATCTCCCGATACATGGAGTGGTAAAGGTGGGCGATGTCGTTGTACGGGATTTGTCTTTGCCAGTGGGGAACAGCACTGAACACTACGGAAACGCAGCCTAACGTGTAGTAACCGTAGAACATGCTAACGTGATTCATCGTCACAGATTAGTCTAATGGAAATAGTTTGCTTGTAATTTCGCTAAATGGGATGTAAATTAAATAATGAGTTATGTTTAAGTGTGTAATGACTATTTAATTGAATGTGTAAACAAGATAGTGAACAAATTTGAGATAGCAAAAAAATAAATCAGTGGCAACAAGACAAAAGCGCAAACTAATTTCTCCTTTGTCACAGTGATTTCATTGTTTAGAGAATTCTCTGCTTTTCTATAAAAATAAGACACATATAACATCTATTCCGGGTCCTCCCCCATTTATTTATATTTATTAAGGAACAATTTTTTCTTGTATAATTATTTGTAAAGTTAATTATTAATTAACTTCATATAATTATTTACGTTAAATAAATGAAAAGAGTATTTTTTTGTTGGCAACTAAAACATTTGCGTAACTCTGGCAGGATTTAAGATAATTTCAAGGCTAAGGCGGTTTATTTAATAATATACTTTAGGCATTTACCTATAGTGCAATATTTCTCCTGCTGTAGGGGTGATAAAAATAAGTGTAATAATTAATAACACTCAATACTAAAAGAGAACCACGAATGGTCAAAGAATCTGTTCTACCTTTGTCTGCTATCAAAATGCATGTGTTTTACAAGATTTCTGTTTCCAAACAGTAACCTTTAACCCAGGAATAATAATAAATCAACTATTTTTATACTGTCCTTAGATTTTAATTTGTTTTTGGAACCGGTAATTGGTTTCAAAATTTATAAATTCAAAGGTAAATTAAAAAATGGTGCCTAGTGCCTAGTAATGACTTCTTACAGAGGTGACAATTAGTAAATCCGAAATGCAAAATACTGTAGAATATTTCACTGTAAGGATAATAGGATTCACTGACTGAACAGGTTTTTTGAAGCTAAGTGTCATTTTTAAATTTTACCATTTCCCTCCCATTGAGTAATCATTGCCAAAGATTCAGCTAGTCTTAAAATATAATTGGTAAATAATTAACCAATAGATTAATCGAGACAGCGATAACACAGCTACTAGCTACTAGCTACTATTTCATTCATCCTGCACTTATCTATAATATTAACTTTCTCAAGTGTCTGTGTCAAAAATATTTAATCCTGAATTAAATAATCTAAAATGATTAAGTCAAATCAGTTGACAAAAGAGATATTCATGCGAGGTTTAATAACAATACAAATAGCTAAAACAAAATGCTTCCAGCTGCGGTGTGAACCATCCTCAAAATCAAAATTCAAATATGTACAATAAACAGGAAAACAAAACAACAAGTGAAATATTTACAAGTATTTATCAGGAATCTCCTCCCCTCGCGTCTCAACGATTTGTTCCACAAACGTCTTGCAGTCTTTGGCCATATCGTGAAAGTTTTTCACATCGGCGTCAGTCAAGCCGAACTTCTCTTTCAAAATTTGATCTTCTATCTCCAAACTCGGCACTTGCGACTGCACTTGGAAGATGAAAGTCTGTGTCAAATCTCTAAACTGACTCTTGAGATGTTCTGGAGGTTTTACAAACAAATCCCTCATTCTGTGTAGCATTGTGTGGATGTAGTTTACTTGCTCGAAGAAAGTTCCATTCTCGTAACCCGACGGCACTTCAGTGTCTGTAAATCTCGCGAACAAGTGATTTCCGATCGCCAGAACTAGATTGCCCAATATGCGAATCTGCGGGTCGAATTGTCCATGTGATCCTAGTCCGAGTATTAGAGTGAACACACTAATTAGGGTTACCTTCATATTGAAGTTGAATACAGAATTTGTTATCAAGTTTACGTTGTTAATATTTTGATCATGTTGATTGCGTGTAATGAACTGAAACGTTTTGTGAGATTTATTTTACAACCATATTCAGTGAACAGAGTTTACATTGCTTAATTTTATTTTGCAGTAATTACATAATAATGTCGTTGGTAGTTATTTACTGTAATGACAAATTTAAAACTGTTCATGAGGTTGTACGATCAGATAAATTATAATCTTTATGAGTCAGTGTAATAGCTCAACAATCAGTTTTAAACTGTTATTGTTACAAGACAAATATGATCACTGATATAGTGCCTGATACAATAAAAAAACTTATATAATAAAATTTTTGGAGTTAATGAACAAACAATATACTGTACTCCCAATAATTTGAGCTCAATTTTGAAAGATTTACATTCTCATTTTCCCCAAGAAACCTAAAATTGTTTCAACTCTGTGTGTTTAAAAAAGTGTTGATGAATTTTATAATTTTTTGGAATTTCAACGACATTTATAACGTTGATTTCTCCTCTATCCCTGCAAACGTTCTTAAATTACTAACAGAATATTTCTATGTAAGAGACTCGGTTTTTATGCTATTTTCGTTATTTATTTTGTATCTTGGATCATTGGCAACAAGATATGGTCACTTAAGGTATTGCAATCTACAATCTTCTAAAAATTCTAAAAATGCAGTGAAAGATTAAATAATTAGATTTATTTTGCCTGTTTGTAACTTTTTTCATCTTCTGTACAGATATAATAAAGCTCTAATGAAAGCTGGTATTTTATTGAAGGTTCTTAGACCAAAACTCAAAGGATAATGTAATTATAACTGCTAATACATCTGTAATTGAAGTAAAAATTAAAAAATAGATTTATGTTTTTTTGGTTGAGTAATAAAGTAGATAAATGAATAATGATGCTTGATGGCAAATCTGTGCTTGCATAGCTTTAATTTAAGACCAAAATTATGAAAATCGGTCGGGTAGAAGAGCCAAACCGACTCGGGAAAAACTAATAATTTTTAATATAGATGTATAAAGGCATATAAAATTCAGCATAATGACTAAACTAGTTTTTAAAAGTAGTCATGATTTAATAACAAAACTGAACATTTGTACAAATTCATTTTAACTTTTGTGAACAAAACTTTAAAATCACAAAATGTGTTTATATACAAAACCTGATCAAACCAGCCCTAGCAGTTAGGCTTTGGCTCCTTATTCATGGATGATCTCATCATCTTCAGTTCATCGATTGTATCGACCAACAAAGCGCGAAACTTTACGATGTCTTCCGGCCTCAACTTGTAAATGTGCTGCAGTTCCTCGTTAGTGAACTGCAACTGCTCGAATTGCGGAATCACTTGGTCCACCAGAGTTTGCAAGTACGGCCGCATCTTTTCTCTGATCAGCGGTGAAGGGCTCATCACGAAACCTCGAATCAAATCAAATTATTCTTAGCAAAATCTACAATGAAAGATGACAGAGCTTATTTATAAATAGTAAAATTAAATTTTTCGTCCTACCTTCAAATCCTCGGATGCTAGGTTATAGCCAAAAACCATAGTACTGGCGGAATTTGAACCCGGGACCACAGAGACAGAAGCCCCACGTTCCTCCATTAGACCATTTGAGTAGTCTTTGATATTTAATAAAATATCAAGTTGTGTTCTCAAACAAAAATACCTTTAAGCATCATGCACCCTAAATTTTGTCTACATTACTCTTATTTTTCAAACCTTTCTGGCAATCTATTACAATTTCTTGCACCCAAGAGGTCTTTCCCTTGTAAAATTGAAATTAGTGTAGTTCCGATTTCTAATTATTTTTGTGCAAGTATGATTATAGCCCAGCAATTTGGTTGATTTTGTGTTATATAACACATTCATACATATTACTTTACTGTTAAAACACCAAGTTCACGAAACTTATCCTTAACACAAGCCTTATACTGGACTCCACAATTACTAGAAAATTACCGGTATGGATCATAAACGTAAACAAATGACGTTTTTGGCCCGAAAATAAACATTATTTAACATTGCTTAAATGGAACTGACAAAACATATGTTCAATGCGATTAGTATAGGATTCGGGCCAACAATGTCATTTGTTTATGTTTATGATCCATACCAATATTTTTCTAGTAATCGTGCTGTACTCTAAAACAATCATGGTTCTAATAAATTTATTCTGGAGATTCAACAATCGTTTTACCTCGGACTTGCTTCAACATCTTGTTCATAAACTCGAGTTGTCGTAGAAGATCTCCCTCGGCAACAGCTGGTGGTAACGGGGGAACTTGACCTCCGGACAACTTGTTGAACAAACTGGCTCCAATGTTGCGCACAGCGTTGCCGACATTGCTCAACTTGCCGATGAACGGAGCTGCGTTGGCGGAGAACACTAAAATGGAGCACACAAGTGCGAGGGAACGCATGTTAGGTGTTACAACTAACTGTGTCACATAAACAGATTGTGGTGATTTGATTGACTCAGTTATCAGAGAGTGTTTAGGATATTTATTGTTATGTAAACATGTGAAGACACTAAAGTTGATGTCTTTTAATATGACTTCAATGTAATTGAGAGGTTTAGTTCAGTATTATTGAATAAGGCTGTATGTATAATGATAGAAAAGAATCGGTTTTTGCAGCATGGTATTATTGCAAAGTATTTATAACATAATTTCTAGTCAACACTAATTAATAAGACAACTTCTCCTGTAATGAATCAAACCTAATTTTGAAAATTACAATGAGAGTAACCAAGATTTTTTTAAATTATAACTTAGCAGTACAGTACAAGGGATTATATTTTAACTAATTTCTAAAGCTAAGAATCGTTTTTTTCTGATTGTCTTCTATTGGGCCAAATTATGACATGCATTGAGTAGGATGACCATGAGTAAAAGAACTCCCGTGTTTTGACTATGTCTATTCCTTTGTACAAAGAAAGGTCAATGGCAATAAAACTCTTGATTCTTGATTCTTCACCCACCATCCTCAGTTTTGTTATTTTTGATCAATTGCAGTTGAATCAATTCAATACAACTAGCGTCTAGTGGTGTGACTGTCAATGTTGAGCCTCTCCCTCAAACCTCCCACACATCTTGAACTGGTTGAAATTGATCTCCATTGTAAACTTATGATTGTAACTTATATATCGTCAATTTTAACATGATGAGTTAGAGTAGATGTGGTACATAAAAAAGTCCCAGAACGACTTATTTTCTTATTTTCAAATATTTGTACAATAAAATTGGTTCTTAAAAATATCAAAACACTAGCTTTCATACACAACAGAATAGGTACTTGAAACTGAAACCTTATTCAAACTGTAAGCAAAGTCTTTGTACAATGTTTATTTTAACTTGTTGCCTACCAGACGTCACACTCCTCTGTGTGAGCACTCTTGTGTGATCTGGTAGTGAATGTGTTAAAAAATTAAAGGATAAAATTAAAAAAATAAGCAACAAACTACAAAATGTTTAACTCATATAAAAATTGAAATAACTTAATCCTAAAAAGTCGTGAAGCTGGTTCCATAGGTTGAAAGTTTTCACTCTGAAATCCAGCATTTCTTCATATTTCCCTTTGTTTTTGTCGTAAGGAGCAGTCCATTTGAAATAGTATTTCAGCAGCTCGTCGTCGTAAAGTGCGTAAAAATACCTCGCTGCTCCTGGACGCAGAATATACTGACACGATTCCTGTGTGATTGAGTTGTTTGAAAGAACGTAGTTTGTCAGTTTATAAAATAGATCCTCATATTCTTGTAAATATTTTAGCATTTTGTTGCCCTCCCTTGGCGGAAGAAGGTGATAGAGCTCTTTAATTTTGAAATCGGTTTTGTTAATCTTCAAACACAGTTTGTTTAGCTCATCATTTGAAACAGAATCGCTGAATGACACATTTGAGAGATAAAATGTAAGGAGAGCAAAGAGAATTGTTTTTATCACATGACACATCTTAAAATAATATAATTTTTGATGAAAAGTTGAGATTTTAGAGCGTTTAACAACCAACGTAGTGTTTAATATTATGTAGAATTAAGATTACTCACAAACTTATCAGTTTTATGTTTAAGACTGTTTTGGTTGCATTCAAAATGTAACACTGTAAACCATCAACATTTACAAGGCAATTTCAACATCCTCCTTTTGAAAATAGCACAACACTTTTCTAAAATGTTTACGTTGTTTTCAGTTGTAGCACACAGCTCTACTCAAAACTAACGTCATCTTCGTCCGGTATTTTACTGTAACACTTGAAGAATTCTTGCCAAAGTTTGACAGTGTTGTGTCGTTCATTATGAAGAACCTTTGAAGAAACATTGTTCAAGCCAAACAACACTTCATGTAACGGCGTATCTACATAGAAATGTACAAACTCCGGGCCTCCATAGTCTATTAACTCTTCGGCTTCAGCAATCGTACAGTTTTTACCTATTGTTTCATCGTGTTTTGCCCTTGAAACAATTGAAGCCATAGCCTGATTGTAGTTTTTTACTAGGTTAATAATTGTTTCACCATTACCTTTTGGTCTAGTTCTGTACTCTTTGTTTAGTTTTTTATCGGTTTCGATTAGAAACTTGCATAAATATGAAACCGTCTCTTTTTCATAATTTATTTCTTGGTTTTCAGTTTGAGGTGAAACAACGCTTAAAATTACTAAATAGAAGAAGACTTTGATGATACCTAAAGAAAGAACCATGTTATAAATCCATTTGATAATAACTTATTAACTTCTGAGAACAAGACACAATTCTAAAACTAGGTAAAAATGTTATAAGACTATTTAAATTATCAGATTAAAGTGATTATTCTTTAATATAAGTTTAAGAACTATCATTTAACCATTTTAATATCAAATCATTGTGTGGATAGTGAATGGGATGGAGTGTTCACCTTCGGAATTATAATATAATAATATACGAGGTGTTAGCCCGTCCTACGTACGGAATTCAGTAGTCAGTTAAAACCGTGTACAATTCAGATCAGCTAGTTTACACTTATAAAGACAAAGTTTCTTGCAGTTTTAATGTGAAAAATAATCTTGTAAACAAATGTTGTGTGACCAAATATGTTTTTATTTCATCATAGGCCTATACAATATGCATTTTAAATCCGATAATTTTACAATAAAACAGCAATTCTGCAATTTTTACGATGTGAAAAGCGTTGAAGTGAGATTTGCAGCCGATTCGCACACTGATTATAAGTAGCCTACAGTAGAGAGAGTAATAGTCAATTGAGAAGTGTATAGACCTAGTCAACGATACCACCTTCCATAGTATACCTCCCTCTTCCATAATTATTATCACTACAACACAACTACTATACACAATTTCCAGTAGGTCTGAATAGAAACGACCTGAAATATAACATAATATCCAATAAAATTCACAGTACACATAATTTAACTTTGGTGTCCTAAAGGCTAACATAGGAAGTTTAATTAACTAAGTTTGTTTTGCTACTTTCTGAGAAGGCATTCAGTTTTTCAACCCATTATGAAAAAAATTAAAGCTAGTGTTCTTTCTAGAAAAATTCAAAATTTCACTAAAGCACATTTAACAAACAAGCCGTTCAACAAATGTACGACATTTATACACTCTTCCTTTTTATTTATTTATTTTTTAAAGGAATAACTGGATTGTTTTACCTAAACTGTAGCAGTATTTTATAGAAATGTTAATGCCACCATACTAATTAATAAAGATTTAAAATACTTAAGTAATAATAATATACATATTTGTGTACCTATATCAGCACCATTAGCATTTTTATTGTTTATTTACTTTATTTGCAGTTGAAATTGTCAATCAATGTTGACATACTCCCTTAAAGATACCGTTTTGAAAACTTGCCGTCCTTATAAATCAGCTATTACAATTTTAAGTTATGTTTCTACTACTGTGGTTATGTGTAAAGTGTGTTTTGAAGTTTTGATTGTGTAGCGAACATAAAACACGTGAACAGGCTTTAAATATTATTAGAGTTTACTTGCAGATCCGAAGTCAATGATACAACATAGGTATTTCAGGATTAGTAAAAGTACGTTAGATGCTCGTAATATGTTATTTCCGTAATCTTTTACCACTGATTACCATATCATAAGGTTCATATCTCACCTTAAACCTACCCTGTTGGAAAGTTCAGTCCGTGCATAAAAATACTGCGGAATTTGATGTTATACAGTTTACTCCTTATTGGTTAACATGCTTTCACTTCACTAAAGTTCAACAAACGATTCATTGAAAAAAACTCATTCTGAAGACTCGTTCTCGTCGTTTTCCGCAGCTGCTTGTTTGAAAAACCAAACAAAGTCCTCGTAAATATCTATAGTGTTTTGACGCTGGCAAATCATAATCCTTGATGAAACATTGTTTAATCCAAACGCTTGCTCTAACGTGTGCTGATCCGAGTAAAAGCCAATGAAGTGAGGTCCGCCGTGATCTATCAGCGGAGCAGCTTCCAAAATAGTTTCGTTCATCGCCCTCTTCATATTTTCCTTGTGCCTTTCGATAATTGAAGTCAAGTTGTCGTTGAACTCTCGGACTTGGTTCATAACGGATTCACCTTCTCCTTTTTTCCTGTTTTGTAACTTTCCGACGAGTTCGTTGTCTGCGTCGATCAACATCTGAGTGATTTCCGAGACTTCGTACTCGTGTACGAAGGGTGCTTCGGTTTTTTGTGCTGTCACTGCACACAGAGAAATGAATAGTGCAAACACTAGATTTGTGGTCAAGTATTTCATTTTGTCGTTTATATTGGTATTTAGCAGCATAAAAAAACTACAGTAAATATAAATAAAGTAATTTAATTTGACTCATTATTTTACTTAACTGCTAACCGTTTAGGTTAAAGTAGTTATTGCAAATCATTAGTTCAACGTATATGTAAATTGTCATCATGGTGGCACTAATATAAACTAGTTATGTAATCAGTATTTAAAATCTAAAGGCAATAGATTAGTCTCTCAATGACATGTTGTCACAATAATGTTTTAATCCCATTACATGTTTAATAGGTTATAAATTACATTGCATAACCTAATACTTGTTCAAAATAAAATTTAGACCTAATGTTCCATGACATTTAACACTTAGCTCAAAATTGAGTTAGCTGATTGTTTTAGCGAATTTCCCATATAGGGAATAAGCTATTACCGTAGTACTCATGGTAAGACCTGGACGCGGGACCGATTTTTTTTTTCGTTTTGAAGTCCCTAGAGGCCAAAAACACCATCCGTTCAAATTCATATATATATATATATATATATTTATATATATATATATATATATGTGTCCGTTAGCACGATAACTCGAGCAAAAATCATCCGATTTTGATGAAATTTGGTACAAACGTGTAAACCTACGTTTATTTGAACGAGTTCGCGATCCAGCATGATCGGACCATGGGAACTGGGGTTTACGGGGGGTTTTATGGAGTAAAAATAGGTTTTTCCCATTTTT